GCCTGCTTGGCACAGGTGCACATTGGTCCAGCAAGTCCCAGCGTTCAGAGTGGAAAGAGCCGATGTGAGCGTATGGCACAGCCTGAACGCAGACATGATCAAAGAATCCCCGAAATCAAATAATTTTCAAGGGCGAATCCCTGAAATCAGATGATTTTCTCAAGGGCGAGTCCCCGACATCAGATGATTTCCAAGGCTGAATCGCCGAAGAGCGCCGACGATCGGTCGGCGACTTGCTGAGCGGCAAACTCGGCCGCTTCAAGTGCCGTCACCAGGCCCTCGAGGAACCCTTCTGCCAGGAACACCTTGAGCGGTTCCCTGATGGGCAGCTCTGCTATGCTACACGCCACAGGGTACATGAGGTGCGCGCGCACGGCGGCGGCCGACAGTAGCTTGAGCGAGGGCACGTAGGACTGCAGGACGCGGTGGTGTCCCGAGTGCTGCGAATCGCAGTCCACGGCGCTCCGGCCGGCGTGGCTCTGGCGGTGGCGGTCCGCGCCCGCCTGCAGCAGCAGCATGATGAGGATCTGCGACTCCGGCACCGTGTGCGCCCGCTCCACGGCGGCGTGCAGCGGCGTTCGCCCGTGCCCGTCGGCCAGGTTCGGGTCGGCACCGCCGGCGATCAGTGCCGCGGCCAGCCGTGCCCGGTTGCTCACGGTCTGCGACTGGTCGGTGCTGCCCAGCGTGCGTACCAGCGGCGTCAGGCCCTCGCCGTCCGTGTGGTCGGGATCGGCACCGGCCGACAGCAGCTTGCTCACAACGGCGTAGTTGCCCGCGTGCACCGCGTACGCTACCGGCGTCAGCTTGAAATCGGCCGTCTGGTGGCGAACGTCCGCGCCGGCGTCGATCAGCAGCTGCACGGTCCTCTGGTAGAACTTCTTGAAGTGGTGCGCATGGCTGCATGCCAGGGTCAGCGCGGTATCGCCGTCGTAGCGACTCGTCATCGACACGCTGGCACCCAGACTGAGCATCTCGGCGACCACGTCGCACAGGCCTTGCTGCGCGGCCAGCATGAGTGGCGTCATGCCGGCGCGGTCCTGGCCGTTCAGGTTGGCACCGGCCTGCACCAGGCGCAACGACAGCTCCTCCAGGCCCATGCGCCGCGCCTTGCGTAGCGACGAGCGCAGCACGGCGTCCATGAAGCCAAACTGCCTCTGCTCCACCAGGTGCTTGAGGAGCTCGGCGACCACGCGGGCGCGACCGGCACGAGCGGCCATGTACAGAGCCGTGGCGCCGTCGCCCACCTTGGCCGTGGCATCCGCGCCGGCCTCCAGCAGCTCAACAGTGACGTCGACGGATCCGCTCTCCGCCGCTCTCATCAGTACCGTGTATCCCTGGATGTCACGGCCGTTGGGATCCGCGCCGGCGTCCAGCAGCTGGCGCACCAGGTCGGCGCGGCCGTTGGACGACGCGATGATGAGCGGCGTATCGCCGCTGCGGTTCGGCTTGTTCGGGTCCTCGCGCTGCAGCAGGTCGGCCATCTGGTGAACGTTGCCCTCGTGGCAGGCCTTGGTCAGCACGGTCTCCCGCGACTCCATCTCCAGCTGGTGCAGGATTGCTGCCTGGTTGGTGCGACTGCGCTGCGTGGACGGAGACCCGAACGCTACGCACGGGCACTCATCCTCATCCAGCTCGGAGCAGCAGCAGCAGCAGAAGTTGTTCTCTTGGCACACCTCGGCGCTGTAGATGCACAGTAGACATGGAGCACACAGGATGGCGCGCGCGCACTCCCACCAGCTACGGCCGCAGCAGGTGGACGGCGACGAGGGCCGTGACGACCCGCGCCGACGGGCAATCTCGTCGTCGTCCTCGCCCGACCAGCGGACATAGCTGGTGGTCGTGCCAATGTGGCTCAGGCTGGAGCTTCTGGCGGTCGACGTCCTGCTGGCTGACGATGCTGCCCCTCTAGTCTGAGTTTCGATGCGGTTAGTGAAAAAGCAACCGCAGCATAGAGTAGTTGATGCTGAATCCTGGCTGTTGTGCGTGCCTGGTCCACCTGAGCTATCAGCTGCACAGAGACATGTTTGAGTAGAACACACAAACACACGCAAACGTACGGCACGAACGTAGACATTGTGAGGAAATGGGAAGAGACAGATAGACCGGCAGAGAGAGAGGGAGAGAGAGAGAGAGAGAGAGAGAGAGAGAGAGAGAGAGAGAGAGAGAGAGAGAGAGAGAGAGAGAGAGAGAGAGAGAGAGAGAGAGAGAGAGAGAGAGAGAGAGAGAGAGAGAGAGAGAGAGAGAGAGAGAGAGAGAGAGAGAGAGAGAGAGAGACAGAGGCAGAGAGAGAGACAGAAAGATACAGAGAGACAGAGGCAGAGAGAGACAGAAAGATACAGAGAGAGACAGAGAGGCAGAGGCAGAGAGAGACAGAAAGAGAGAGACAGAAAGAGACAGAAGGAGAGAGAGACAGAAAGAGACAGAGACAGAAAGAGACGGAGACAGAGAGAGACGGACACAGCGAGAGACAGAGAGAAAGACAGAGAGAGAGAGAGAGAGAGAGAGAGAGAGAGAGAGAGAGAGAGAGAGAGAGAGAGAGAGAGAGAGAGAGAGAGAGAGAGAGAGAGAGAGAGAGAGAGAGAGAGAGTAAGTTACATTTATAAAGACAGGTAAGTCTAACAAATGAGGACTGAGACCTCTACAACAGGGTTTTTACGCCTGAAAGCAGGTGCATTATTTAACGAGCAGGTTGTCAGTCTAGATTTTATGCGCAGATGGAGAAAAAATGCGCAGAATTTTTGTAATGAGATGAAAAGCAGAAATAATAAGAAAAGATGAAATGAAAGCCTGCTCACAACCCCGCCCAGCCTTGCGAACTGGGTATGGTGGATTAAGAACCCGGTTCAACGCTCGAGCAAGCGCTCTCCACTCAAGGTGTTCACAGCGACTGTTAGGAACTCATGAGAGAGAGAGAGAGAGAGAGAGAGAGAGAGAGAAAGAAAGAGAGAGAGAGAGAGAGAGAGAGAGAGAGAGAGAGAGATGGAGATAGAGAGAGAGATAGAGAGAGATAGAGAGAGAGAGATAGAGAGAGAGATAGAGAGAGATAGAGAGAGAAAAAGTAAGAGAGTGAGTGAGAAAGAGACTGGGAGGGCGAGGGGAGAAAACCGGACATACAGAGTAAACAGAGAGGTGGCCAAAGACGTCATGCATACCCGAGTCAAGCACAGATTGGGCCCACACCTTTACTAGTTACTGCTATACTTCCATGTCAGTTTAGATTGACGAATACTCGGCATCACATTTCTCTCCCATTATTATCGCCTCAAGGATAATAGCACTGTCATCTCAGAGGAACAACGAACTAATAAAGTATTTACTATGTTAGTGTGAGTATATCAATACCCTGGATCCTGACCCCCCCTCCCCCCACATGGCGTTATGTCGTGTTCTCATAGCGTGCCGGCGTCTCACCTAATGTGTAGTGCCAGCGCCGAGGCCATCTGCTTGCCTGTAAGTATTGTCTTTGACACTCTCGACAGTTAGCCACTGCCGGACCGCGTCGCCTGCTCTGCCACGGATACTGCCACGGATGCATGCTCATCCGGGCCAAGTCCAAGCTTCAGCAATGGCCCCGGGGAGCGGCTGGCTTCCGTTCCGGGGTGCTCTTTCTGCAGGCTTGTGGCGTCGACGGTAGGAATGGCAGGGATGACATACAGCCTACAGCTTACAATGGTAGTTGTGATACCAACCAGTGCCGCACGATTCGAACAACGGAGGAACTCATGCAGAGATTGCAGGCTGTGCTTTCATCACCAGGATGCACAACATTGACAGCAAGGCACTACCCTACACGCCTCTGCAGCCCTGTTATGCAGTCGTGGCTGAGCCTTGTTATGCAGTCGTGGCTGAGCTGCTGATAAGTAGTAAAGCACTGTACAAGTCAGAAAGGCACATTTCCGCCAAACTTCCCAAAGGCTTCACAGATTCAGATTAAAAACCAAAATGATGAAAGCCTTCACCTGGCAGCTGCATGCACATAGTCATTGCACTCTGCCCATCTCAACAGCGCCGGGTTCTATTACTCAGACCCTTCACTTCCAGCACTCACGTGCGCGTGAACACAACGAAACCTTGAAACGCTGCGATGCCATCTACAAAGTAGTCAGTCACCTTGACTCGTTCCATACAAAATGTCCCGCTTTGTCTCTCTCTCTCAACACTGACAGCAGCACAATGACTCAATGTTCTGGCTAAACAGGAACGCGTGTACGTCTTCCACGAGAGCAGCAGTTGCGATCTGGAGAGGATTGTTATGCCGTGTCCCCTAGTGCCCTACATGCAGCCTAACCGTCACCGTGTCAATGTAGCTGCTCCGTACTAGCTGCTCATTTTCCGTTCCAGCCAACACCGTCTTTTACAGCTCTGCGACCAGCCGGCAAGACGGCTGCAGCCTGTATTCTGTTGTCCCAGGCTGCTCATCGTGCATCGCAGAAACCCCAGCAGGAAGGGTATCTAGGAGATTGACAGTCACACGTACATAGCCACCGCAGTAGCCAACGGGTCGTTTAGTAACAGTCGCGCAAGCTACGGTGTGTGCAACCAGCGCTCTTACACTTTACAGTCAGTCCCACAAGCTACAGGCTCAAACCTAGCGCTGACAGCGACAGTGGCAGTATCGTGCGTCGCCTCCATGATCCCCCGACGCGACAGGGTCTACTAACTAAAAAACTACATACGCGTTCGTGCACGGGCAACAGAAAAAAAGAACGTAGCTCTCTACGTTAGCCTGGTTAGGTCTTGTAGTCCATGTTCGAGCCCGGCGCGCCCGTGCCCCGCTGCTGCTAGTACTACATGTGGTAGTAACTATTGAGGGACTAAAGGTAGCTACAACAACAGACTCGGTGCCTAGTTGCTCCCATAATAATTATTAGCTCCAGAGCTGCTATCTCACACTGACTGAGTACTGTTACACCTGTTTTCAGCCCCATGGCCATGGCCCACTCAGTTCTTTTTCCGGAGAAGAGCCCCCAAACTGGCCAAAGATTTTATTTCCCGTCGACGCAGCAGGTGATGCTTTCGCCATGCGGTGAGGCAAGTCACAGCTTGAGTGGCATGGTGGCCACTGGCCAGCAGGGAATAGTCACACTTACTCGTGATAAAAGGCGCACATGTCACAGGCAGGAGGAAGTCGTCTCTAACGAAACTGCACTTTCGAGGCTTGAAGCAACATTTTAGTCCACCTAACTATCGGTATCGCCAGCGACCGTAAATCCCACCGACTTACTCACTTAATCTTAGAGCAAGGGTGTAGTCGAATACCTGCTTGCATAGAACCACGGCCTTACCTTTGATGAATCGCTTCAGCGAGCGTGTTCGATACTCTGCCTTGGTAGGCGCAACGCGGGCCGCTAGCCGTTCCGGACGCGGTTCAAACAACAAGCTTTCCAGGTCGTTGTTCGACTGCTCGTAGAGCACTGGAAGCGTTTCGTCCACGGGCGAGCTGTTCAGACTGATACTGCTCAGTGTCTGTGCGCTGTTTTCTCTACGCACTCCGAGGCGATCTACCACCGCCGTCGCAGCTGGTGCCCCACCGTTCATCACCGTCCGAGCATTGCTGTCCATCGAGTCGCAGCACGCATGGCAGGGAGGAAATGAGCGGACACGCAGTGTCAACGACTGCAGCGCAGCATTCTTTACCCATACAATGACTATGGCTGTAGTGTTTCCTCATTTCCTCATCTCTCGCCGTACTGCCGCGTAGCATTGGTGTAACTCATCATGTAGGATCGATAGGCAGCACTGAACATTTCGTGTGGACTTGGCAGGTCCTTGACGCAGCCCCAGACAAGCCCAAGCTGGGCCAAAGCCTGAGCTAGCTGCAGCGCTGACTGGCGCATGGCGTGGCATGGCCCTGGCGCCCTGACTCAGCCCAGGATCTAGCATAATTTTTGCAGTGCAGTACACTACGTGCGCAGACCACGTGTAACGTTCGTACAGTATAATAATTCTAGTACATGTACACGTAAGGGCCATGGGTCGTCCACAAAAATTAATATTTTTGTAGAGCAGATAATTCGTTCGTTTGGGGGAGGGGGGTTGAGCCCTGTCTTTGAAACATATTGAACACTATTATAACTTATACAAAAGAGAAAGGACCAAGGTCCAGGAACTACAAGTTACGCTATACTGTCCACTAACACCACCAGTTACTAAACAAACAGCTCATGTGTAGTTTCTTGGTCCTTTCTCTTTTGTATAAATCAATCCTTGGCTCTCCATCCGAGTCCATTCTATTATAATTATTATCTAAGGACGGGCATGCCGGCACTGTGCAAACATGTGCAATCATGTATATGTACAATGTAAAATGTATGTAAAATGTATATGTAAAATGTATATGTAAAATGTATGCATGTATGTAAAAAAATTAAAAAAAAAAAAAAATGTATGTAAAATGTATATGTAAAATGTATGCATGTACAGTGTTGGCCAAATGTTTGGGCCTACCCAAGAGAAAACAGGTTTCTAGAGAGAATCTTTGTAAAGTGCACGAAAAAACCTACTGAAGTTGACTGTCTATAGAAGAGATCATATTCTGATCCATCCTTTGACGGCTACATAGTTGTAAAATTTAAAAAGGTCAAATTAATCGAAAAAGCGTAGGCCCAAACTTACGGCCAAAATTGAAAAACAACAAAATCCAGGTGACTAGGTGTTTGACATCAACTAAAACTAATCTAAATGAGTTGTTTCCATGCTAAGAACCTATCAGTGAACTGTTTGCCCAATTTTACCACTTAGCAGGTCCTCCCTTTGCCTTGACGACAGCCTCCATGCGCGCTGGCATGGCCGCGACGGGTTTCGCGGACTTGTCCCTGCTGATCTTCCGCCATGCTCTCTTGCACACTTCCCCAGGCCGTGTTTCTGTTGATGGGACTTGGGGAACATCATGGCAGAGTCAATTCAGCATTTCCCACAAATACTCAATCGGATTTAGGTCCGGCGACTGCGCCCGCCGCTCCAGTACGCGATATGGGCGGTCCGCCAATTACGCCTTTGCCGTGTGTGCGCGCGCAAATACACCATCCAGACCGCGCAACACATCGACCATGGACGGCTGCATACTGTTCTGCAGTATTCCTTGGTATTGGTCTGCTTTCATCGCTCCGTTAACGTTGTAGAGCCGCCCGACACCGTTGCCGGCGACGCGGTCCCGTATCATGATGTAGCCACCACTGTGCTTGACTGGTCCAACAGTACACTCTGGCACCAGTTGTACACCTGGTCTACGACTGAAATACACCACACCATCTGGTGCTCTCATATTAAATTTAAACTTGTGGGACCACAGCACGTTGCTCCACTGGTCCACAGTACATTCTGGGTGGGCCCTGGCAAAGACCAGTCGTTTCTTCAATTTTCTGACTGATATACGGTTTTGTTGTGGTCCTGTAGCCTCTCAGGCCAGCTTTCAGCAGTCTGGGACGTTCCATACGGCTCGGGACATGTTTGCCACGGTTTTGCACCAGTCTGCCTTGAGCTCGTACGACAAAATCCTTCTGCTAGCCAGAGACATCACCTTGAGGCACCTGTCGTCACGAGCAGACGTCAGCCTTGGATGACCAGAACGAGGCGTATTCTTGCAGCTTTGCGTCACTGCGAACCTGGTGACAATTTTCTCACCGTACGCACACAAACGTGGGTCAAATTGGCGATATCATTCGACGAGAGGCCATCACTATTCGTCTTCACTATCAACTCCCTCACGTCAGAGCCAAAGCTGCTTGGATCGACCCATGGTGAAGGAGAAATGTCAAAAACAGCAACTAAAATTTGTTGTTCGTGTCGTGAGGACCACCACGTGTCGTGTAGTTGAATTTCCCGCTGGTTTTGCATCCCACATTTTTGTACCGTACCGTACCGTACAAATTCAAATATTTTGGCCAAAAATTTGGGCCTAGCTTTTTCATGATTTTCACGTGAAAATTTGTTTTGAAGCGCACGTGCACTGTAGAAAACTTATCTCCCGCGTTTTCATCGGGCTTGCAGCAGGTTTGAAGATCAACAACCTGGCAGAACCACTATATTGTGCCAAACCCCAAAAATTTATAGGTAGGCCCAAACTTCTGGCCAACACTGTATGTAAAATGTATATGTACATGTAGTTTATGACCTACACAAAGTGATAATCAACGTCGTGAACATAGCCATAGGCATAGCAAAGTTGTGCGACCGTGGCAACGACTTACGTAAACCTACAATACAGTCATGTACATGACTGTATTGTTGTACATGACATACATGTACATGTACATGTATGTCATGTACAACAATACAGTCATGTACATGTACATGTACATGTACATGTACAACAATACAGTCATGTACATGTACATGTACACCTACATGTATTGTACAATCATGTAGGTGTACATGGTGAATTTGGAGGTGCAGTTGGTCACGTTCCATCAGGAGATTGCACTTCTAGTACTACAGTAGTACATGTAGTAGTAGTAGCTACACGACTATTAGGACGACATCCAGGAGCGATCAAGGAATACACGACTGACGTAACGTCGTTAGGAGAAGTCTAAAGCTCCCCTAGCATAATGAGGGTCAGAACCGGGTTCAACAATCAACACCCATATGGTTCAAATGGTCGAAACGCCCTCGACGAGCTCCAAGCTTGGGGATCGAGATGGAAGGTCCAGTTTGAGCTGACAAAGCGCCAGGGAATGTCGATGAGCAGACGATCAACACCCCTCCCACCCTCTTCTCTCAGCTTCGATGGTACCGTGATCAGAGAGGAAACCGATGTTAAGCTTCTCGGTGTGACCTTCGACCGCAAACTTCTGTTCCGCAGCCATCTCCACCAGGTTGCAGTCAGAGCCAGCCAGCGCCTTGGCTTCTTCAGGAAGGTGTGCCCAGTACTCGACCGCAACGGCCGCCTCAGCGTATACAAAGGCTTCATCCGCCCAACCATGGAATATGCTCCTCTAGTCTGGCAAGGCGCAGCCCGGTCCAACCTCGCGAAGCTTGACCGCATCCAGCAACGGTGCATGCGCAGTATTGGCGCTGTGACCATGCTCCCAAGCTTATCAGTGCGTTGGCAAGTCTCGGGACTGTGCTACGTGATCAAGCTGCACTACATTTCCGGTCCAGCCCAGCTGACGGACATGCTGCCACCTGCTGCCCCTGAGCCCGCCCGCCCCCGAACCCACCACCAACATCATGTGAAACACTCCCATGCCTTCCAGTTGTCAAACCCCCTCCCAGCAACAAGTCCTGACATCCTACACCGATCCTTCCCGTTCAGCCTACTAACAACATGGAATGCTCTACCCTCTGCCATCCTGAACGCTTCCCCATCCAAGGCAGCGCTGCAACGCTTCAAAGTAGCAGTGTACAAGTACCTGCTCGAGCAATCTTGTGGGACTGCTGTCGACGTGTACACCACAGACTAGCATACTACCTGATGGCCTAACTCCTTCTTCTTTCTTTCTTTTTTACCCCCCCCCCCCCCCTGGTGCACGTTACGTTGCGTGCAAGGATACCGAGACCTCTGGTCGGAGGAGTCCACAACGCGTTAACGCCCCACCTACACACCTACACAGCTGCGCTAGTGGATACTAGTAGTCAGCCCCGACTCAATAGTTGTTTGTTCTGTCAACCCTCAACTTCTGTGTTCTAGTCGTTTCTTCGTTCTCCCTGCATGCAACTTTGTTATCTTTCTTGTTCTTATTTTGTCTCGAGCCGGGTTAGTGTTCTTTGTAGAAAAAAACCCGGACCGGGGATCTACCAACCGTGGATAGTTGTAGTAAGCCGAACACAGTGTCAAACTAACAAAATGTGTGAACTACATGTATAGCAAGGTTTATCTAATACTACTACTAATTATTACTACAGTATTCTGTGTACGGAAGTGCAGTGCTGGCAACTGAAATCCAACCCCCCCTAGCGGTGCGCTAGCCGCGTTAGCGATTCGTACGAGACGCTAGGGGGGGGGGTCGGATTTCAGTTGCCAGCACTGTACTAGTACTGGGTTGTACATGTATAATACCATGATTGTGTCATGTACATGTACACACGCCGTTACCGCTCAGGAAGGTACATGTAATTCGGGGCTTCTAACTCATTGGGGAGTGCGAAGTCAGGCTAGCGCTCAGCTGAGAGACACCGAGTACATGTACATGTATGTGAAGGCTCTGGTATCAGGCGTCCATTTTGCGACTCGCATCAACCTGATCTCTACACAACGGGTTTAAATAATTCCCTACCAATCCGGCTCACACGCGCCGCACGCGTATCTCTCCACGCCGGTTTATGCGTTCAGGCATTGTCACTGTCAGCTGACAGAGTTGCGAATGGCCTTTTTTTATTTATTTTTTTATTTTTTATACGAAAGTCCACTATATTCCCGAATATGTGCGAGAAGTGGTGGCGGGGCCAGGCTGCTCTGCCGACCTCAAAGGTCTCGGCGTCTACGCAGACAAAGCGCGCCATAATGCAGTAAATGCCATAATGCAGTAAAACCATGAGGAGGGGAGGAAGAGGGGAAATGAATAATAGTGAGGAACGAGGACAATGGGTAGATGGTCGTGAGAGAAGCAGAGTGAAAGATAACGTCACATTGTGGTAAGGGGGGGGGGGGGAGGATGCTAGTGAGGCACTGGTCTAAACCGTTTCATAGGGCGTCGGTGGCTGCTTGCCAGTTCAGGTGCAGCAGATACTTGTTGCATTTTTCTTTGAATAATTGGAGCTGGCTGGGTTGCGGCCGTGCTGGTAGAATGGTCGCTGGTAGGCTGTTCCACAAGGGAATAATGCAGTCTGGGTAGGAGCCCTGGAGGCTGCTACGAATGCGCACGGGCAGCGTCGACTTCAGCTGGAGTGGGTGGCAGTGGGCAGTCTCCGTGGCTAACCTAGTGGATCGACCACCCACTGGGCGGGGATTGGCTGGAGGTGGGAGGATGGGCTTCAGGGGGCTTGTTGTTGGAAGGTAAGACAGCTTGAACGTGAACGAAAGCGCAGCAACCAGTCGGCGGTGTTTCAGGCTGGGGAGCCAGGCGCCTGGGCCAATCACCTTCAGTGCAGCCTACTTGCACAATGTAGATTCTCAACACTTGCTCGTCGTCTCTGTAGTATGGGTACAACCAAGTACATGGCATTGTATGTATTTATAAGCTCCGGGAACTTACATTGTACATGTATAATCATACTCTTGGTACGGCTACATTGCTGCCATACGGTAACCGAGAATAGTCGCGTGTATGTACACGTGCATGTAGCCTAGGTACATGTACTTCGAAGTACATTTTATGTACAGTGCGTATCGGTTATAGTGTGGTCGTATACAAGAATATACTGCCTACAAGAATGAACACTCATTTTTTCATAATCATAACACCTATTGTATTGCTTGTATTCTTACAAGCAGTATTATCGCATAGTGGAATATATCGGCCCTAAGAATGGATTTTGTGTAGCAAAATATGCCAGATTAGTGCAAAGTGTATCGCCTGTAGTAATAACATCTGTGCTCTGTGCATGCTCAATACAATAATATTCAACACAAAAAGAGAGTTATGTCCAACTGAGCATTGGAGAATCACTTTTTCTGTCCAGTCGGACTCTTTCTTCCGACTTCTCTCCTATCTGCTGCTCCGCAGTCGCCTAGCACGACCGCGAGTCTGATCCGTGTGTATCATGATTGTGTAGACCTATGATTGTACGTGTACACATGCCAAACATGTATTATGTCACACGTGCATATGATATGTCACACGTGATTTATCGTGTGTAAGAAATATCGGCAATAAGAATCAAATGTCGTTTTTCAAACACCCACGCTATAACCGATACCTACTGTACATGTATGTATTCCCCAGAATGAACAAGCAAGTCTGCCTTCGTGCATGGGCAAGTGCGGCTGGCCTACTCTATGGCAACAGGTGAAGCCACAAACTGTCTGCACAGAGCCAAGCAAGCGCACACTACCAGTATCCGCCGAAAGATAAGAGAAGGTGCCCTTTCCAGCCGACAATGGTGGACAACCGTCAAGCGAGCAGGTGGGCAAGGACACCGCTCTGCAGACATACCTGTTCTGCGTGCGTCGAACGGAACTGAGCACACCACCTGCAGCGAAAAGGCCGAAGCATTCGGGCAGTATTTCTCCGCAAAGTACAGTCTTGGTGACAACGACTTGCAAGCCAACAGCCTCCCTCCAGTCCGCCCCCGATCTCAAGCTCAACTCCGCAATGTCCACTTTCGGCCAAGCACGGTTGAGCGGAAGCTGAGGCAACTCCACCCCGCCAAAGCCACGGGTCCAGACGGCATCCCCGGGCGTGTACTCCGGCAATGCAGCAAAGAGCTGGCTGCACCAGTGTCGCGGCTCTTTTCGCAGGCCTTCCACCAAGGTCGGCAACCTACAATGTGGAAGACGGCAATGGTTGTGCCGGTGCACAAGAAAAAATCCAAGTCTGGTGTTGAGAACTACCGCCCGATCTCCCTCCTCTCTATTCTGTCGAAAGTCATGGAGGCCATTATTAACCACTCAATCCGAC